TCTTTGGTCAAGATTGACAAGTTTTTTCATAACGAACTGAACACAGACCTTCCATCCAAACTTAACTTAATGTTAAAAATAATTAAATAATAATATAGGTCACACAACCATTAATATTAATATTAATATCAAGAAATCTGTTATTATTAAAAATTCGAATAAATATCATATCAAAAAGAATTTCATTATCATTAAACCATTCTTATTCCTCAATCCATTAGTATTCATTAAATGCACTGTGTAATATAAATTTAAATTATCAAATTAAAAATATAAATTTAATATGATGAATTACTCTCAAATTCGACTTGAATCGATTCATTCGGAGCCTTAATCTTTAAAAGTTCAAAAATAATTTTGATTATTCCAATCACACATTTTTATAATTGAACAATCAATATAATACATGATGTCAAAAATAATTATTAAATTAATAATATATATAAAGTTATTTCATAAACATACCATACCATGTTCTGGTAATTTTCTCAACAGCCTTTTCATCATAAGAATAAAAGTTAATTTTACAAAAATCACAGGTATAACTCCAACTATGTAGCAAAACATTTTTATTTGTACCATAATTAATTGTGTGTCTACCTTCTGATCTAGTCTTCCCATTACAATTGTCAATGATACAAGGAATGATAGGTACATAGTGATGATAAAAGTTTTCAGGTTGCCAGAAGAAAATTGATAAATAAGTATGGTTTGGTGCTAAACTTCAATAAGAGTATTTTGGAGGTCAGTAACATATTTGATGTAATTTTATCTCCTCCTTTTTTTTGGAATATCTCCTATACATATTTCTTTTAAAAATACAGTAAAATTGGAAATTTATGTAATGATCAATGTTACACGTCCCATATAAGTCTTGATTTTCCTAAAATCCTCTAATTTTGGTAAAACCTGAATTTGTGCAGATTTTGCAAAAAATTGATTGTTCTCAAATAATAATAAAATAATTTAAAAAATGTCTGGCGATGAAGAAGGAGCATCAAATAGTTAGTTTTTTTTTTGTTTTTAATAGTAATCACGAACAAAAAATAAAATCATTATTAGTTAGCTAATTATTTTTTTGAGTAATTTCTTTATTCATTCATTATCTATATTCGACGTATTTACTATATATAATATAAATAGATGAATTACTTTTAGTTGCAGCTAAACAAGATTCTGAAGAGATTTTGGATGAGATATTTTCTGAATCTAGTACATACGATATTAATTATAGTGATGGTATAGGAAACACGGCACTTCATTATGCGTGCGTTGAGTATACTTCAATAATAATGATTATTATTATTATTTCATTTTTCTCATACACACGCACAATATTTATTCATCTATTTTGGTAATAATTTATACAGTTCAAAGTTTGGCTCATTAAGTGTCATAGAAAAACTTTTAAATCAACCAGGAATTAAAATTGATCAAAAGAATCGATTAGAGGGAAATACACCTTTACATCAAGCTGTAGAATATAAAGATGATCCTTCAGTATCATATGAAATTGGTAAATCATCATCATTATCATACAAGCATATTTTTAGAATTTATAATTTGTAAGAAAAACTATTTATATTTATGTTTTTATTATTTAGTGAAATTATTAATTGATTACGGTGCTGATCCAAGGTAAATTTTCATAATAATAATAATAACAATAATAACAAAATAATAACATCTATTTCAATTCCATACTTACATCGTTCTTCACTTCCTTAAAAAGGATTTTGAATAAAAATAAACAAACTCCTAAACAATTAGTTGACCTTGATAATCAAGAATTAAAAAATCTGCTTCAACAAGCTACTTTGGCTTTACAAATGGTATGATATTTCTTAATAGATATATTATATAGGTGATTGAATTAAAGAGAAAAGAAAGAGATAATTTCTCATCCTATAAATCATTCATTAAAAATTATTATAAAAGGGTGCAGATATTGCTCAAGATGATGATGATGATGATGATGGAACAGCAAGTGATGCAAGTGACTAATAAATGAATACAGTTTATTCAATTATTTATCCAAGTAATGATAAATAATAATGATAGATTATTTGATAATAATTTATTAATGATATTAATTAATATATATTTCTTCATCCTCTCCTCAAAATAAATAATAAAAGGATTATTACAATATAATTACAATCTATTTTATATACTCTATTATATAATAATAAATAAAATATATTAATTAAAAATTAAAAATATTATCAATTGATAACATTTTAAATGTTATCCTATTTAAAAGATTAAAATCCTGTCCATGATTGTTGACTCATTTTATATGAATAATTACTATTACTATTATTTTGTTGTTGTTGTTGTTGTTGTTGTTGTTGCTGTTGCTGCTGCTGCTGCTGTTGTTGTTGTTGTTGTTGGAGATTTCCAAAAATCCCTAATGATGATGATGATGATGAAGATGGTTGTTGTTGTAGCATTGATTGAATGTTATTATTAGAAACATTCAATGAATTCGACATTCCAATAATAGAAGATGATGATGTTGTTGAATAATTTTGTTGATTTATTGAATTCGTTCCAAAAATATTCATATTATTATTATTAATATTATTAAAATTGTTACTATTAGTATTAAGCCCAAAAAAATTATTATTGTTGGTAAATCCACCAACACCATTATTATTATTGTTAAAAATGGTTGAAGCAAATAAATTATTATTTCCTGTTGTAGCCACAATGTTATAATCACTTCCTTTTCCAACCAATAAACCATCACTACCACCACCCATTTGTAACACTTGACCTTGGTTGTTATTTAGTAGCATAGATTGATGATTATTAATTCCGAATTGATTTGATGTTAAATTCAATCCATTATTTATATTATTTATATTATTGTTATTATATAATGATAATATTGCATTCTTATCAAATTTATTTGTTACTGGTTGCTGCTGCTGCAATTGTAATTGTTTTTGCCTTTCTTGCTCTTGCTGCTGCTGTAATTGTAATTGTTTTTGCCTTTCTTGCTCTTGCTGCTGCTGCTGTTGTAGCAATTGTAATTTTAAGTTATTTTGTTGTTGTTGTTGTTGTTGCTTTTGTTCCTCTTCCAATCTCAATTTTTGCATCATTTGCTGTTTAAATAATTCAGTTTGTTGTTGCTTTTGTAATTCTTGAAGTTCTAATTCTATATGGGAGTTGGACTAGGAAAATCAACCTCTGGGGTCTCAGGACCAAAATCGAGATCTTTATTTATATGATTCTGAACAATAAACATCTTTATATGGTTCACTAACATGCTGACAAATTTTTGAATACAAGTATTCTTTTCTTTTTTCTGATAATGATGCCACTGGAAGAACCTCTGAATGATCAATAAAGTCAAAATTATTTTTTAAAAGTAAAAAAGAATTTTCAATTCCATTTGATTCTTTTGAAGCATAAACTTTTCCAATATCATCTTTTTTAAAACAAAATTAAAAATGAGTTAAAATCATGCCATACCCAATCTAATTCACTATTACATCTAATTGCTTCATTACCTTTAGATGAATTAATAACAATATTTTCAATATCACCAACAATGTTTACAGATTGGTTTCTGTATAATTTTTTAATTTTGCCAAAAAATGAGTCACAGATGAACTTGGTGTGTCCAGGAATCATAAAATTAATTATAATTTCATCAAACCAACCAAACATCATCAACCATGACCAAAACCAAAGAGTTTAGTTATTCTTATTTTGTGCAGTGCAGTTATCACAAGTTATTTGTAAAATTTTTACATCATCTATGGAAAATTCTTTAAGAGAATTAAATGCCATGTTTAATGTTGTATTAGCACCCCAAAAGGAAACTCATTTTCAGCAATTATGTAATTTAGTTGACAATTTTCTTCTCCTGTTTTACAAACACCAAAAATATTTACAGCAAATGGTGTTTTAAAATAAATTGATCCAACTTGTTGAGGCGAATATGGGATGCCAACATTCTGAGCTCAATCATAACAGATATGTAGAAATGATGAATCAGTTTTACTTTTTTCTATATTATTATTATAATGCATACGTTCATGATATGCAAGTTTATGGTGTTCTCCATATTCCTTTTTTATTTTTTCATAATCTTCATATCAGATTTTGCAACTATCATTTTTGCTTTAAAAATCTCACAATTGTCACAAAGATCACTTGCTGGAGATTGAAATTTAATAATTGGGACTTATTCATGCCATAATCTTTGAAAAGTTCTATTGGAAATTATTTGTATATTTTCATCATGCTCAACATAAAAATGGGGTTTAAATTAATTATATACTGAAGTATATGTTTTCCCTATTGGAAGATATATAAAGGCATCAGAATCATCAAAATGATGCATTGGTGATGATAATCCAAATATGTCTCCATATTGCAACAAAAATTGTTTAACCATTAATCCAACTTCTAAATCAACTTGAGCACAGGATTCAATTTTAGGCACATGTCCAATGTTTTTATGAAGTCTCTCTGATAATCCATTAGTCTGCAAATCATCTTGCAAGGTTTTAAGCATATATTCAGTAATCCCACATAATTTTATATATACTGGCTGACATAAAGGTAAATTATAATTAAAATTATATCTATGTATATGTATAACTGACTTTTCACTGGTTGTTTCAAAGGACATTAATTGAGCTTTTACAAATAATTCTAGTTCATTTTTTTCTAATGCACACAGTTGAAGATGTCTTTCAAAAAATTGCTTAAAATTTACTTTCTCATAACAAGTCCTTAAATCTATTTTTGTGGTTTTACAATTACACTTATTTTCTTGAAAAAATATCATTAAATTATGTATGGTATCAAGAATTAATTCATTTTCTTCATAATCTTCTAAGCCTAATTCTATCAAATCATATGTTGGTCTTATATTTGAATCTAAAGGCAAATTTTCTAAAGTACTTCCATATCAATTTAATAAAAAAGAAAAAGATATAAAATTTGTTTAAAAAAAATTTTTATTAAATATTATTACGATGATGATAAAATTTTTTTTTGAAAATTTTTGCGCACAAAAAAAAATCTAAAAATAGTAACAAATTTTATTGGTTGAATTTTGATCAATGATTACTCAAAAAAAAAAAATAGCTGAGGGGTCGATTTTCCTTGTCCAAAAGTCCAAATCCCATATATTTTTTTTAATTAACGCGTTTTTTTTTAACCTTTTATCTTAAAAAAAATGACGAAATCTAATTCAGCAAAAAATGATGTGGTTCTTCCGCCTAATCTTTATCATGAAGGTGAGGTTTTTTTTTCACCTATAATTGCTTGCACATTTTGGGATATTTATCAACTTCCGATTTGTAGAATATTGGACAGGTACGAGTTTCCAAAACTGGTCAGTTGAATCATTCGATATATTTTGGATTCAGAAAAACCCGAGTCTATATAGAAGACAGGATCTAGCACATTCTGCGTTGGGCAACGAATTGGCGATTCTCGCCAGAGCATCTGATAAAAGAATAGCGGATAAGGCATACTTGTTGAAGAAACAACTTAATTTTAAGGTCAGTTCGTGTGCAATTGGTTGCAATTAGTTACAGTTGATTTTTTCTTTAAGTCTCAAAGGTGACATTTAATTGAAATTTTCATCTTTAAATGAGACGTCAGGCAAGGTTGCATGTCACTACGCCCCTCGATGCTTTCGAGGAGGGTTTTGATGCTTTCTTAACCCGATGGGGAGGAGAAGCGTGATAGCTTCACTTATTATATGTGATTCTTTTACGTGTATATCCCTACTGACCGATGTCCATAAAAAATGCCATGTATCATTCATCAGTTCTCTCTATTCTCTAATTTTTTTATCAACCATAAAAGAATGAATCATCACAGATTAACAAGATTATTTGGGAAAGAAGCAAAGATATAGCAGAGTCTCAAATACATTTAACATTAAGCGAACTGCAAACCAAGGTAATTCAAGATTGGATCCTTATTACTTAGTGCTTCAATAATCTTATTAGTCTCCCTAATTTTCAGACAAATATTGAAACATCCCTGATTGAGGAAATCAACAGTTCCAAAAGAAAAATACGTCACTTTAAAGACCACGTTTTGGAGCAAACAAAGGGTAATTGCCAAAAGATGGAGTATCACAAGAATGAGTAAAATCAAGGTGATGAATATAGTGATTTACACGTACCATCTAGTCCAACACCATTCTCATCACTGCAGTTATTAAAAGAATATTCAATCGCACAATCATCTTACTCTTCGAGATTGTGCTTTATACTCAAAAGCGGAACAATTGTAAAAGATCTTCTGGATCATATACCTCACAATAGTTTCTGGAGTGGGAATCATCTAATTCTTGATAAAAGCAATGGTTGGCTTTTAAATGGATATATGAAATTAGAAGACTTTGAGGAGTTGGTGGAAATTTGTTACTCTCATGGTGCTGTGGGACTGCCAATAGAATTAAAATTAATGCTTAAAAAATTAATGAAAAATCATACGGTACTATCATTGAGAAAAATGCAATTATCAATGCAACAAAAATTAGATCTTAACGATCCATACTTTTATCAAAAGAAATGGATCTTATCAACTGTTGATAATTGGTAAGCAAATTTAAAATTGAATTAATTGATTTATAGTTAGTTATATTATTATATTAATCTAGCCGATATAGATTATTAATAATTAGTAATTTGTTACACCATATATTAGGTTAGATTATATAGAATTATCTTCAAAGATAAAAAATCCTTTAATTAAGATAAATAGCGAAGTCATAAATCGGCATCAATTTACTATTCTCTCATTGATCGTTTGGCCCTTCAATATTTTCGTACTCTTCGAGCTGGTTCATCTTCTGAAAGTTCATTGTTTGCATTACATGAAGTTGATGCAAATTTACGTGCAAAACAACCAGATATTTACTTTCGTGATGACATTCTCAAAGTCGAGCCTGGTGAGTATAGCCGATGTTAAGTAGCTCAACATAATCAAACCTTTCATTCTTATAATATAATATTTTCTTAATAGGAAATGTAGAGATTGCAAAGGATGGTTTAATACAAGATATAGTTAAATATGATCTTGACACAAACAAGAGCCTTCGGGAAAATATATATGAAATCTATTATACGTATGACAATCTCCCCACCTCAAAAAAGGAAAAAATTTTTGAGATGGATTTTATAGCCTTTGTAATCTCTGGTATGTTATAAATTCAAATAGAAAGAAAATACATAAATAATCTTGATACCTAAAATTTATTTTATTTACTCAGACAATCATATAGATACGTATGTAACTAGATTGGTTGATAACCAACTTTATATCTCTACCAAGGTTTGTGAAATCCAATATCATCACATTAATATGCAAGATTTCTTCTTATTAACTTCTACGGTATATACCTCTAGATTTAAAGTATGATATATCCTACAGAGTTTGCGACAAACGAGCTGATTTGTTGCATGAATAAAATTCTGAAAATGATTGTAAGTGAAACATTCTTTTTGTAGTGTATACTAATTATTTATGCTGATCTTATAGTCATTTTTCACTTAATCAAATAGTTGCGAATGAATCAAACTGTGGAAACTATGCGCAAGGCAAAGATGGATGATGCAGATCCACTGATTGATTCACCGAAAAAGTTTACATATTTTTACGATCCTCGTATTTTACCTTCTGTAATCTCCAAAAAAAAATCAAGTGACAAGAAGAAAAATACTAAGAAAAATTAAGAAAAATGTTTGTTAATTGCTGTAAACAGAGTAAATGTATGTAAAAAATTGATCTAGTTTAAATAGACATTTAGAAAGTTAGAAGATATTTGCGTAACCTCAAAAAAAATAAAATAATAAAATAAAGCATCTTTCAAAAAAATTTTACTTTGTATTTGATCACGTTTACCTCACTATCATTAATAATACGAGAAAGTGAACCGTTATTACAGTCAGGCGTGTCTGAAATTGAGTGCGGGGGTTTGTGTTACATAAAAAATGCGCACATCTGATCACAAAAAATAATTTTTTAAATGTAAATTTATTTGATAAAATTAATATATTGGCATAAAATTAAAAAAAAAAAAATTTATTTTAATGATTTTAATTAAAAAAATTAAGCTTTAAAATTAATAAAAACTATTTTCTCTCTTTTTTATTTATCCAATGTTCATATGCTTTTCTAAAATCAAAATCTTGGGTGTCTGGCCCATTTAATAAAATCATTAAATGGTTGTTCAATGTATTTGTATGCATTTGGTTTCTCAACTCATTTTTTATCAACTTCATTTCTGAGAATATTCTTTTTACATGTGCATTAGGAAAAGGTATAAAAAGTATTATTTTAACTGTAATCATTGAATTTGGATAATTGAAAAAAAAATTATCATCTATATCTAAAATATATTTCCACGATTCAACAAAATTCACTTGCATATTTTTGTAAGATTTTAGATAAACTTTCAGAGTGTTCCATTCTTCTATTAATTTCCCTTTTTCAATTATTTCATAATATTCATCATACATCAATTTACTATCTCCATAAAACTTATCCAAAAACTCTATCTCTTTCTGACCATACAGATCTAAATCACTCTCAGTATCAGGAAGTTCATTTGGATCAAAAATTTTAAATGAAGAAAATAGTTCAGAATCAGGGAATCTATTATTAATAGCCTTTATCATTGCTAGTGAGTAATCTTTAACAAATGAAGGTATTATCAAAATATTTAATATTGTGCATACATATTTACATTTTTTTAATCAGGACTATTAGAAAGTCAATAAACTTTGGTGAAAAATAATTAAATAGACCGAGTAATCCTACTATGAACAAGTATCCAACATCTTTAATAAAAAATTTCTTTTTTGTCTTTCAGTCTCCATATAATTATCGATTTGCATTTTTCTTTTGACTAAAAACAATCATGATGATAAATGTAATTTGATCCCTGTAATTCACTTTGTCTGGTTTTGTTGCAGCATGCCCCATATAAAGAACCAAATTGTCAAAAGTAATCCAAAGATAAAAAAGAACATCTATTAAAAAGATATTGTCCTGATGTACTCAAATACATTACATTTCCTCGCATTTATGAACAAAAATCATGTTTTCAAAACTGGAATGATTAATTTTTGTATTTATTACGGCAGCCAATTACGGACCATTTTACTTGACTCAAAAAAAATTTTTCTTTTTTTCCCAATCATACGTATAAACGTATAGTTAAACAATATGATTGTCAAAGCTCCCGAATTAGCAAAAGAAGTTAAAAAGTGAGAGGAATTCATTAAATTGTTGAATTAATATAATATAGTAAATACTAAACCTTTTTTAGATATTGGAAAAAACGATATGACTTGTTTTCTTTATATGATGAGGGAATTATAATGGATGAAGGTACAGAAAAGTTGTTTTAAAGAAATTTACGCGTTATAAATGACAAAATTAATTAATCAATTGATAGAAGGTTGGTATTCAGTTACACCAGAAGTCATTGCAAAACAAATTGCTGAAAGATGTAAGTGTGATGTAATCGTGGACGCGTTTTGTGGTGTAGGAGGTAATGCTATACAATTTGCATTTGCTTGCAAAAAAGGTAATTAATTAATTTAATGTGATCAAAGTAATAATTAAAATATATCTAGATATTATTTTTTAGTTATACATTATTTTATTATTATTATTATATTATTATAGTTATTGCAATAGATATTGATGAAACTAAGATAATGTGTGCTAAAAATAATGCTAGGATTTATGGTGTAGAGGATCGAATTGAATTTATTTTGGGAGATTATTTTAAATTAATTCCTACCCTTAAGGTAATTATATATTTACAAAGCTAAAAAGAGAACAAAAAATCAGTTGAATTTTTATTATTATAATATATAATTATATAATATCATATGTTATATAATAATAATAGGCAGATGTAGTGTTTCTAAGTCCACCTTGGGGAGGTATTAATCAATTTAAAAAAATATTATTTTGTAATTAATAAAAAAAAAAAAGAATTACTTATATTTTTTTTTTTGCTAATTAGGACCATCATATATCCACTATGATACATTTGATTTGAAAACAATGATGGCAATTGATGGGTAAATAAATATTTATGAATATATAATATGATTATTATTTTTTTTTTTGTTACTAAAATATTAACATTATTAATATTAAAGAGAAAAAATATATAAAGAAACTACCAAAATAACCAAGAATATAGCATACTATGTTCCTCGCAATGTAGATCCACAACAGGTATATAAATAATTTTTATTCTATCAAAAAATGGATTGTATTTATATGGAGGAGAACTAGATTATATAAATAAATTATTTTTTATTTTTAAAGTTGGCAGATTTTATGGGGCGTGGTAATGTATGTGAATTACAAAAAGTATTTGTGAATAGTAAATTTGTAGCAGCTGTAGGATATTTTGGCAATCTGATGTGTAAAGATGATGAATATAATGAAGGAAAATAGTATGAAGGCATTAAGAAGAATGAGAAAAAATATTCAACTCTATTTATATGATATTAAGATAAATGGATTTCATGTAGGAATCAAAATAAGAAAAAACCTGGTAATGTAATTTATTTATTTAATTAAATTAAAGTAACCAGTAAAGGTTATACAAGGGTTCTGGATTCATTATTAATTTATTGTAAAAAAAAAAACCACATTAATTTTAGGTATCAATTATCAATACACAATAGTATTACATTTTTCAAAATTAATTTCCTCAGAGGAAATTAATTTTGAAAAATGTAATAATATATTTATGTAAGATAGGCAAAGTGAACATAATATTATTAATATAATTACAGAGGTATTGATTGATCAATTAATGTTATCTTCATTATGTCAATATCCGCACCTCCATATGTGTGTAATATATGTTAATTTTCGTTCATTATTGAATATAAATTAATAATTTTTTTTTCAAATATTATTAGCAAGAATTAAATCCATGTATTTTTTTGTTAGAAGGATATATTTTTTTACTCATTCTCAAAGACATTAAAACAAATTTAAAGTTAATCATATTTTTGAAAATTGGATTTTTTATTTTTTAAATACAAATATGGGTTACTTTTTACTGCTAAAAAGCATATTTGCCAAGCTTTAATACTTTAATCATCTGAAAATTTAGATATATCAAAGCCAAGTGATTTTTCTTTGCTGCCTAACAATTGGAGATTTTACCAAGCTCCATCAAAAACACCAATAAAGTTTTCAGAACAAAGGACATGAATAAAATATTATCTACTATTCAAATATCAACAATCATTCATTCCCTCACAACTTGAAGAATAAAGCCATCTTTTTGAAGCCTTTGTTGATGTTTCCTCCATTATGAATTTTAAATCAATCACCTACATAAAAATCCAATAGCCAACTGATATGGAAACATAAATGTTTGTTGTTGCAAAGATAAAATGTCATTTGCCATACATGTTCAAAAGTAGACTATCTACCAATACTTTGGCTTTGTTTCAATAACATCTTACTAAGAACACTGAAGATGAAGTCTTTGAATGTTCTAAGCCTTGATTTAGGTTTCTGATGATCTTGAAGATAAATTTCTCGGAGCAATGATGCTAGAAGGTCAAAGGTTGAAATGCCATTTGTTCTGTGAGAATTGATATCAACAAAAAAGAAAATACCTGGCTTTTTCATAGAGACATTTAATATGTGTAAATAGTTAAGGAATGAAGTAATAACCGGTTGCCACAAAAAGCACAAGTTAGCAACATCATGAATAATATACCAGACATTCCCATTCTTTTATGACCTATCCATGGTCGAATAAACCTCTTGTTTACTGTATCACATTCCATAACCATAAATGTGTTGATACTTACCACTTTCACATTTCGGCTTCGTGATAAAGCTTGCAATCACCTTTTCTGGACCTGGTTCCAATTCAGAACTCTAAAACACTTGCTCAGCCAGAAAACTTTTATAGTTTAATTATGTTGATATCTTAGTTATCCAGATACAATTAATCAGATTATTTTTCAATGTTTTATGTTTTCAATGGCGAAGTGAAAGAATTTTTATCTGATATTTTCAAAATAAAAGGAAACCTGTTTATTCCAAATTAAGTCAAAATAATAATATATTGAGTCAAGATCTGCTAATATATGAGGGTTTTTCGCAAAAATAGCAAATTTTTTTCAAAGAATTTAAAAAAAAAAAAAAAATTACATATACTAATTCTATTAGTAACATTGGCAGTAATAGTAATAATAATAGCATTATTAACATGACTTTTACAACAGCGGCATTTAATAACAACAATTCAACAACCAGAGCAATTGATAAATCTGCAAAGTCTACCTTTTCTGAACCTTCATCCATTATAATTCCCTCATCATATAAAGAAAACAAGTCATATCGTTTTTTCCAATATCTAAAAAAGGTTTAGTATTTACTATATTATATTAATTCAACAATTTAATGAATTCCTCTCACTTTTTAACTTCTTTTGCTAATTCGGGAGCTTTGACAATCATATTGTTTAACTATACGTTTATACGTATGATTGGGAAAAAAAGAAAAATTTTTTTTGAGTCAAGTAAAATGGTCCGTAATTGGCTGCCGTAATAAATACAAAAATTAATCATTCCAGTTTTGAAAACATGATTTTTGTTCATAAATGCGAGGAAATGTAATGTATTTGAGTACATCAGGACAATATCTTTTTAATAGATGTTCTTTTTTATCTTTGGATTACTTTTGACAATTTGGTTCTTTATATGGGGCATGCTGCAACAAAACCAGACAAAGTGAATTACAGGGATCAAATTACATTTATCATCATGATTGTTTTTAGTCAAAAGAAAAATGCAAATCGATAATTATATGGAGACTGAAAGACAGAAAAGAAATTTTTTATTAAAGATGTTGGATACTTGTTCATAGTAGGATTACTCGGTCTATTTAATTATTTTTCACCAAAGTTTATTGACTTTCTAATAGTCCTGATTAAAAAAATGTAAATATGTATGCACAATATTAAATATTTTGATAATACCTTCATTTGTTAAAGATTACTCACTAGCAATGATAAAGGCTATTAATAATAGATTCCCTGATTCTGAACTATTTTCTTCATTTAAAATTTTTGATCCAAATGAACTTCCTGATACTGATAG